ATTGAATAGCCTGGCCTTCACCTTTCATGAAATATTCTTGTATTTCATTGTCATAGGAAGACCAACTTTCCTTCAGAGATTTGTTTTCTTGAAGGAAAACTTTGACAATTTTGAGTATAAATGAATAGTTAAACCAGGACACATGTTTTTCAAGAACATAAAACAATTGCCGTGCATCTTCACTTTCATTAAATTTCTTTCTCACCAGCTCCTTGTTTTTAAGTGTTTGATCATTTGGACTGAGTACTGAGATGACATGAGCTTCAATATATTCAATGATGTCAGAAAGATGAAGCTCCTCGAGGGCTTTTCTTGTTTGATAAAAAAGGTCAGCAAACTCTTCATTCATTTTTTGTAACTTAATTGTTATTTCAAGATTTTGTCCTTGATTAGGAGGTTGTGATGGAGGATAAGTGACATACCCTATAAAAGCAAAAATATAGTAACAGATGCATAACTCAACAGCTAATAAGGTAAGTAGTTGACATTATTTAAAAAGTTAGTGTAGTAATGGTCTAACTATTCTTACATGTTTTTTTCCCTGGATTGCAAGTATCAGATGATTTTCCAGGTGACATAGCTTGTTCATCACTAAGACTCATTTTTGGGGCATTATTTGATGGCAAATGAAACCGTTCTTCAATTATCCCTGGAACACTGTCAGTACACTCCCATCCTATAAATTTTTACGACTATTTTGGATACGGTATTAAAATCATATTCACCTGTTGAACTGGCAGAAGGTGACATTCCTTTATCATGAATAGTAACATTAATAGGACCACCCATAAAATGAGGAGTAGCTCCTCCAGTAGTAGCTGGTAGAGGGTGAGGAGTAGCTCGTCCAGTAGTTGCTGGTAGAAGATGAGGAGTAGCTCCTCCAGTATTAGCTGGTAGAGGATGAGGAGTAGCTCCTCCAGTAGTAGCTGGTAGAGGATGAGGAGTAGCTCCTCCAGTAGTAGCTGGTAGAGGATGAGGAGTAGCTCCTCCAGTAGTAGCTGGTAGAGGATGTTCACGAGCTATTTCATCAGCTAATGCTGAGTTTCTTCCTCCTTCTTTAACAGCTACACACACCATTCTCCAACACGGCCCACCATAACGCTTGTAATCATAATCTTTCATTAGCCAATACTCTATTGCTTTCTGCAGACACGTCTCAATATCTCCACGATGATTTGATTCTATCTTGTTGATAGTATCAATCCTTATACGCCACGAAATAGCAATCTGTTTCCAGCGAGGTGAAAGTGACTTCATTTTCTCGTAAACATCGTAGTAGTGTTCATTGATGTCTGCAAAATATCATTAAATGTCAAATATACCCGCAAACTCACTTAGTTCTTTATCACAAACGTTTATAAAAGGAGCAGAGGAAGAAGAGCTTGCCATTGTTGATTGCTGCGTTCACTTCTACGCCCACTCAAAAGGGCGTATCTCGTATTAGGGGTGTGGCTCAACCGGTTGTGGTTTGCGGCGCTGCGTGCTCTAAAATGGAGCAGCTTACAGCATTACTCTACTTTCTTCTCTTTTTACTGACATCATGTACTCTCAGGATTAATGGAGTTCTC